GGGCGGATCACGAGGTCAGGAGTTCGAGACCAGCCTGACCAACATGGCGAAACTCCGTCTCTACTAAAAATACAAAAATTAGCCGGGCATGGTGGCACATGCCTGTAATCCCAGCTACAAGGAAGGATGAGGCAGGAGAATCACTTGAACCCGGGAGGTGGAGGTTGCAGTGAGCCGAGATCACACCACTGCATTCCAGCCTGGGTAACAGGGCAAGATTCTGTCTCAAAAAAAAAAAAAAAGGCAGACCACTATGGCTGGGGCTTCCTAAGCTCAGTGCAACCCTGGAGCTGCAGAGGAAGCCATGGAACAGTCACGCATAATCAGATACAACTATCAAAAAGCAAGTACACATTTAAAACATACAGTTATGTATCAGCATATATTTTTAAAACCATAACCTCAGGCGTTTTTGGATAACCATGGTCCATTTTCTTCTGCAGGGGCTGTTTAAGTTTTAAAGAAGGATACAGAATATTCTTCACTTACAGAAAGAATTTAATGAAATAAGGCCAATTGCACTATTTTGTAGATTTAAAAGCCAACATTTGTGGCTCCCCTGAATAGCAAGTAAATGACATCATAATAAAGAGCTACTCTGTGCAATCTTCCACTTTAAAAGTTTATTCATCCAAACTATTTAAAGGGGGAAGAACTAAGTAGACATAAAAACTTATAGTATAAAGGGGCACACTAAAACCATGACATACAGTGAATATGCCTCTCCTTAAAATAGTACATAAAGCCAAAATTCATCAAAAACAATGTGCTGAAGATTTTGGCATTTTGGAAGATCAACATGCTATGCTACCAGCTTTTTCACTGAAGGTGTGTTTTTATGAGGATGCAAAGTTAGAAGACATAGGTACAAAAGGAAGAAGCAGCTGGTTTAGATTAACTGTGTTTGTGAGAAACACAGATCAATTTTTAACGTTCCATCTGCTATAATAATCTCTGGTATAATGAACAGTCTCCCAGGTAATTTAAAAAACATTTAGAAGTTTGCTTAACAGGTTTTTGCCTTTTTCTTTTGAGACTCTGCCCCCTACAGGAGATGAGGAAATAAAGTATTCTTACCTAGAAAACCACAGTTCAGCCGGGCACAGGCGGTGGCTCATGCCTATAATCCCGGCACTTTGGGAGGCCAAGGTGGGCAGATCACCTGAGGTCGGGAGTTCGAGACCAGCCTGACCAACAAAGAGAAACCCCATCTCTACTAAAAGCACAAAATTAGCCGGGTGTGGTGGCACATGCCTGTAATCTCAGCTACTCGGGAGGCTGAGGCAGGAGAATCATTTGAACCCAGGAGGCGGAGGTTGCAGTGAGCTGAGATTGTACCATGGCACTCCACCTGGGCAACGAGACCGAAACTCCATCTCAAAAAAAAAAATGAAAGAAAGAAAGAAAGAAATCCAGAGTTCAAGTGCTGGTACAAAAACAACCTGGTAAACCACAAGTATCACAAAGCAACTGAATATAGCACTTTCTGAGGGAAGAAGGGGTATATAAATGGAACAGCTTTTCTTTCTTTCCTTTTTTTTTTTTGGAATGTGCCATACTATACAAATTAAGACCGACTTCTCCCTGTCCCAAATTAGAAATCTGTCTCTCTCTGCCCCATTCATCAGAACTCCGAACCAAAGCACGAAGTTAAAAGTCGAGCAGTGCAAATGAATTTTAGACTCCCTTCCTCCCCTGATTCCCTACTACTACCCTTATCCAACCTATCCTCCACAAGCCAAATTTAGTGAGCACAAAATCTAGACAGCAAAGGGAGGCATCCTATCATATGGAACCTAAGGCAGCTGCCAGAAATGTCTATTCCTGCCCATTATATAATATGTTTCCTGTTCTTTTCTACTCAGCTTCCTTCTCCCCCTTTTGCTCACTTTTCTTTTTTTCCTGATTTCATTTTTCCAGTTACCGGATGCAATAAGCTTGCTGAATGGCACCTTCTACCTACATTTCTCCTTCCTCTTGAGTGTCAGGAATGCTATGAATGCAGTGCAGAGCATGGGCAGTGCACACTCCATCAGAAGGCACACTTCTGAGAGGGAGGTGAATTAGGCAATACCTCTTGTGAAATACCTGAGGCTTTTCTTCCCTCTTTTACTAGAAAGTTTCTTGATTCAGCTACTCCAATCTCCACATCTTGAGAACTAAGCTGAACTGTTCTTCCTTACTCCAATAACACAACAGATTTGCTGACCACATCTGTAATCTAAAGCCACGGAAGTGTACCATAATTCCAGGATGTCCAGAGTAAGCACTTAGTAAATTATTATTGAATGCCTGAACTTAAAAATATATATACAAGTATAAAACACTGAAATGTCAGTAATTTCTATTTTTTAAAAAACTGCTAAAACTAGTATCTCCTTATTTCAAAACCATTTTCCAAAAGTATCTGGGTGACTTAACACAGGTCTTTCATACCTACAGATACATCTATATAAACTAGTAGAGCTTCTTTCTTCTTCTTTTTTCTTTTTTTTTTTTTTTTGAGATGGAGTCTCACTCTGTTGCCCAGGCTGGAGTGCAGTGGCATAATCTCGGTTCACTGCAACCTCCGCCACCCGGGTTCAAGTGATTCTCCTGCCTCAGCCTCCTAAGTAGCTGGGATTACAGGTGCCCACTACCACACCCGGCTAATTTTGTATTTTTAGTAGAGACGGGGTTTCACTATATTGGCCAGGCTTGTCTCAAACTCCTGACCTTGTGATCTGCCCGTCTCGGCCTCCCAAAGTGCTGGGATTACAGGCATGAGCCACCACGCCAGGTCTAGTAGAGCTTCTTAACTGGCTCAGTGTTTCTGGTCTCTCCAATCCCACCCCGCAAGTTTCTGATGCACAGTCACTGAGGTTCTTGAGTCAAAGCAAGGATGATTCACTCAATCCTCACTTTGGGTAATTTATTTTCCAACAGAAAAGACCAGCATCATAACTAACCTAAGTTCAAAATGTGGGTTTTCAATGTGCCACTCCTATTTGGCTTTTTTCAATGCAGGAGCAAGGACAAAATTTTAAATGTGGTTTTGGCTGGTGGTGAGCTTCTTGATCACTTTCAAACAACATACTTAAATCTAACAGACTTGAATTAAAACCTTCCAAATCAGGTTTCCATTTAAAGCCATTCTCATGGTAAATTTAATGTCACAAACTGGGGTTTAATGAAAGGAAAATAATTTGATTTAGTTTATAACAGATATCTAGATCGGGTTCAGTGAAGTTTTAAAACCTTTTTTTTTTTTTTTTTTTTGAGATGAAGTCTCACTCTGTCGCCCAGGCTAGAGCACAGTGGTGTGATCTGTCTTGGCTCACTGCAACCTCTGCCTCCTGGGCTCAAGCGATTCTCCTGCCTCAGCCTCCTGAATAGCTGAGATTACAAGCACCCGCCACCATGCCTGGTGAATTTTTGCACTTTTAGTAGAGATGGGGTTTCACCATGTTGGCCAGGCTGCCTCAAACTCCTGACCTCAAGTGATCCACCTGCCTCGGCCTCCCAAAGTGCTGAGATTTCAGGTGTAAGCCACCGTGCCTGGCACAATTTTTTTTTTTTTTTTGGTAATTTTACTGTTTTAGGAAAGGTGGAAGAATGGGCAGTAGAGGAAAGATGCAGTAATAAGCTTTTACAAAATAAGATTGTTGACCTCAAACTCCTCTTTGCATCTCATCCTTACACAGCAGTTCCAGAAGCCCTGGGCTTCCCATGATGGGCATAAGCCCGTAGTGACTCAGCGGTCATCTGCTGAATCATTATCTACCCTGCTTTTAGCCACCCCCACATTTTCTGTCAAGACTGATTTTCTAGATTTCACCTTAAGAGGATTTGACAAGGTCAAGATCAATGACACTTACTGACTGTGGCCATTTTCCTTGCCTAAGGAGTTTTAGTAGTCAGCTTTGGACTTGAATGTCTCTTATGAGACAATTTGTGACATGCATATTCACAGTGACCTTTATTCAAGAAGGCAGAGAGAACAGAATCACGTCCGACTCAGGAAGCCTAAATTCTAGTCTCGTTAGGCTCTAGCCAAGTCATTTTGATTCAACGGGGTTTATCATAGCTGCTTCTATTTACTTCAACAGCATGGGATAAGGATGGACGGATGCTTTAACATAGTAAGCTCCTCGAGGAGAGATGCTTTCTATAAACAGGAAGTGGCTGTGACTAGCCTTTTAAGGGGATTTTTAAAGTGAATTCCAATTGTGGGGTTCAGGATTGTTCTTTAATGAGCTTTAGGCTGAAAATCTACTTCATACCTGCACATTTGAAACTCTGAGCAGTGAGTCCTCGTTCCAAAGACAAAGTCGTCAAAATGCTCAGGAAGCTGGTAGTCACAGATTGGCGTTTATTCTTCCTGAGTTCATGCCCACCCGTCTGATCCTTGGGTTTGTTCCTCAGTGTGACTTGCAGGTTTTGCTCTGAACTCCTGGCCGCATTGGCAGCTGTCTTCAGAGCCTCCATCCATTCCTGAGCTCTCTGTCGGGTCTCAGCTCGGAGGCGAAGGACATCCTGGGGGAAAATGACTTGAAAGCAAGAGTCGCAGCCATCCAGGTTGTCCATCTGGACAGCCAGACACACATCCACATTGTAGCTCAACAGTGGATCCTCGTCTAGCTTGCCGGGCTGAAAAGCCATAAGGTAGGCCCTGCTCAGCACAAACGTAAATGCCTTCCAGTTGTTTTGGACAGTCAGCCTGTAGAGAGTCCCTGATTTGAGGATGTTTTGGTACTGTTTGGGGCTATCTAGCACAGGGGACGGTGGCAGCAGCCCACTGGCTTTCTTCTGGAAACAATGATACTGTGTATAGTCATCATGATGGCCAAGCCCTGGTGAGATTGTCAGCTCATTCTGCCGCCCCATGTAACCAGGCACAGCAGCATGCACGACTTCCCAAAGCTTCTGCCCCCAGTCCAAAGCCTCCCATGGTGACTCTGCCTTTAGCTGTAGCTGAGTGTTGTCATACAAAACAGTATCCACCATCCTGGCCTCCAGGTTGCCTAAAACAGATATGCTCTGGAAGTGTGAAAGCTGGTACGTGGCATACAGGTTTTGATTCCCACTGCTGTCGAGGCTGTAGAAGTATAAGTTGTAAGGTGAAAGTTCTGCATAACAGCTTTGCCAGTAACTGTCATGGTCCTTTCTAATCTCCAGGTAACCCTTCTTTAGAATGTTTGGGAATGTCTGCTTGTGTTCTAGAAAGAAAAAGAAAGGCAAAGTATTAATTAGAATTAGTTAGTTATAAGAAGGCAGGCCCAAGAAACCACACAGATCAGGGACTGACAGTCTTCTGGTTCAAATTAAACAAAGTAAAAGTAGCAGAATCCCAAGATGGTACCTAATTGGCAAGAAATAGCTGGGGAAATCTTGAGTCTAAAAACTTTAATTAGAAGGCTGGGTGTGATGGCGCACACTTCTAATCCCAGCATTTTGGGAGGCCAAGGTGGGAGGGATTGCGTGAGCACAGGAGTTCAAGACCAACCTAGGCAACATAGTGAGAGCCCATCTCTATAAACAATTAAAAAATTAGCTGGGCATGTGGTACATGCCTGTAGCCACTGTAATCATGCCAATGCACTCCAGCCTGAGAGACACAGCAAGACTCTGTCTTAAAAATAAAATAAAAATAAAAACTAGAACTAGGGTGGAATCACATGTACGAGAATAAGTATGGGGCATGGAACGTGCAACACCAATGGAGTGTGCAACATCAATGTGAGATGCAGAGGTCTGTGTGGAAAATAGAAATACTGGAACGACTGTGACTAGCTATGCCTTGTGAATCTAGGAATCAATCACACTTTGCCAGGGTTCCATGTTTTCTAGGTAATAGACTATTAACAGTCTATTAGTCTATTAACAGTCTATTTCTACCATTACTTTTAATGGTAAAAACCGCAATTACTTTTGCACCAACCTAACAGTACCAAATACACACGAGAGAACGTGCCTTCTGCCACTGCACCTAACTCTCTGCTAATACTCTTATCTTTTCTCAGGTTGGTAAAGCGAGGAAGGGTCAATGAATAGGAGAGAGCATAAAATGTGCTGCTCACAAACTCTCATTTCTCAGATACCTTCAGCAGCCCTCAAGGCCAGTTCATGGGCCTTCGGTCTAGGAACCAGAGATCCAAGCTTGACCCGACTAGCTCACTTTTTAGGTCTCTGCTTAGATGGCAGTTTTCTCTCTGAGCCTGACTGCGCTTATGCTATCCCCTGAGCTTGCAATGCTCCTTCCAAAGGCTTCAATCAGCAACTGCACACTTACCCTCTTTTAGAAAAAGAGTCTGTCCTGATTCTCCCAACCTCACCTACACACGTGCATGCATGCCTGAGTCAGTATCAGGTATCACTACTAAATTATTCTTCTATCATGGGCTCTTAGCTCAGGCTATATTATAATAGCTTATTTACATGTCTGAACAAATAAAATAAGTCTTAAATTTTTTTTAAGACTGTCTTTCCTGCTAGACGATCAGTTCCACTGAGGGCAAGGGTAAGGTCTCTCTTTTCATTCTTAGACCACAGCACACTGAACATTGCCTTGTACATAGTGGGTGCTTAATAAGTACTTGTTGAATTAGAAATAAAGCACCTAGCACAATGCTCAGCACATAGTAGGTATAATTCCCCTCCTATCTTCTTTTCTCCCTTTCCCACTGTTTTACTAGTCATGCCATCCGTAATCAATGATTAGCGCAATATATACTAGTTTAGTACTTAATAAAAGGGGACTATCATTTCAGAGATTTCCTGACATTCTTATCAGACATGAAAATGACATCCGGCCAGGCACAGTGGCTCACGCCTGTAATCCCAGCACTTTGGGAAGCCGAGGTGGGTGGATCACCTGAGGTCAGGAGTTCGAGACCAGCCTGGCCAATATGGCGAAACTCGTCTCTACTAAAAATAACAAAAATTAGCCAGGCATGGTAGCATGCGCCTGTAATCCCAGCTACTCAGGAGGCTGAGGCAGGAGAATCACTTGAACCCAGGAGGCAAAGGTTGCAGTGAGCTGAGATCATGCCATTGCACTCTAGCGTGGGCAACAAAAGTGAAACTCTGTCTCAAAGGAGAGGAGGGGAGAGGAGGGGGGAGAAGAGGAGAAGAGGAGGAGAGGAGGAGAGGAGGAGAGAAAGAAAGAAGGAGAGAAAGAAAGAGAAAGAAAGAAAGAAAAAGAAAGAAAGAAAGAGAAAGAAAAGAAAAGAGAAAAGAAAAGAAAAGAAAAGAAAAGAAAAGAAAAGAAAAAATGACATCCATGTAAGAGACGTCAATCATCTCCTCCCTGGTAGAGATTTTAATTTCTGAAATGTTTCTCAATCTCTTTGCCGACACACATTGGAGACAGTCATAAACTAATTGAGTCATTCCCTAAAAAAGATAAATCATACTGCCAAAGGGTATGATTTCTGCTTTTGGCTAAAGATTTCTGCTTTTGGCTAAAGAAAAAAAGAATAATATAGGTCTAGATCTTAAAATAGCAAACCAAAAGAGAGAAGGAGAGAAATGAGGCTGAGAAAAGCCAGTTTTACCTGCTTTACATCTCTGGTCCTGACATTCATTAGTATTTCTGTGGTAACTCAAAAGCCATTAATTTCTTGCAACCCACACTAATCCCTTTGTAGAAAGAGATAATGGATGCCTATTTGCAGGTTATCTTTTTCTTCTGATAATGCAATAAGGGAGGCAGTGCTGTTAGCGACACTGCTGCCACCTCTCCTGGTCTCATTTCCATCAAGCACTGATGATAGTTCAATCTTTTCCATAATAAGACTTAAAACTATGTGTCCCTCTATCCCCATCCCCACTGTGACCCGACGGCTCAGCTGAGTCCGTGGAGTAAAATAAAAACCACCTCTCCTGCTTTTCACTAGGACTTTTCCTCCCCTCTTCTTATCTCTCTGCGAGCTTTTAACAACAGCTCCCAGGAATTAAAAATTCTACTTTAATTGGGCCCAAACCAGCAGCAAGCCCGGCTAAAACCTCACTCCTTTCTAACTATAGAAGGTATGGTGGCAGGTGCCAGCTTGGGTGGACTGAATGAGAAGACCGGCGAGGGAATTTTCAAGGTTCCCTCACCTTCCAGATGCAGAATAAGAAGAAAAAATGCACTGGGTTCCAACATTTTTTTCCCCACTCACTAAGCAACATTTCCTATCTCTGTTCTCCCAACTCAGCTTCAGCCCTCTTTAAGTGGTACATTAAATTGAAACAGAAAAAAAAACTGTGAATCCTAGAATCCTAGGAAATGGCTTTTTTTTTTTTTTTTTTTTTGAGACAGGGTCTTACTCTGTCACTCAGGCTGGAGTGCAATGGCATGATCATGACTCACTGCAGCCTTGACCTCCCAGGCTCAAGCAATCCTCTCACCTCAGCCTCCCAGCCAGCTGAGAATACAGGTATATGCCAGCATACCTAGCTAATTTTTGTATGTTTTTAATAGAGACGGGGTTTCACCATATTGCCCAGGCTGGGGAAATGGTGTATTCTTATAGGCTGCTGTTTGTCATGTAATTTCTTGAAAAATAAGAATCAGCTGGGTGCGCTGGCGCACCCCTGTAACACCAGCACTTTGGGAGGCTGAGGTGGGCGGATCATGTGATGTCAGGAGTTCGAGACCAGACTGGTCCAACATGGAGAAACCCCATCTCTACTAAAAATACAAAAATTAGCTGGGTGTGGTGGTGTGCACCTGTAATCCCAGCTACTCAGGAGGCTGAGACAGGAGAATCCCTTGAACCCAGGAGGCAGAGGTTGCAGTGAGCCGAGATCGCGCCACTGCACTCCAGCCTGGGCGACAGAGTGAGACTCCATCTCAAAAAAAAAAAAAAAAGAAAAGAAAAGAAAAATAAGAAGAAAAATAGCAAAGGTGATCAGGAAGCTATTTTCTGCAGTATCCATTCCTCTCTGGAGGACCTGTTTATACCATACCTTATTAATATATTGTGTGTGATATAAAAGTTACATATCTGATCATAAAGTGCTAGAGAACTACCATTTCTCTAACAACTCTTTCTACTGGATCTGAAGTTTATTTATTTAGTTGAGACAGGGTCTCACACTGTCCCCAAGGCTGGAGTACAGTGGCACAATCATAGCTCACTGCAGCCTTGAACTCCTAGAGGCTCAAACAATCCTCCTGCCTCAGCCTCCTAAGTAGCTGGGAGTATAGGCGCACATCATGATACCTGGCTTATTTCTTTATTTCTTTGTAGAGAAGGAATCTCACTATGTTGCCCCAACTGGTATTGAACTCCTGGCTTCAAACAGTCCTCCCACTTTGGCCTCCCAAAGTGCTTCGATTATAGTTGTGAGCCACTGCACCCAGACTGAAGTTTATTTTTAATATTTTTGCTACTAACAAATCAGAAGCTATGTATTTAAATCTAAGTTTTCATTAATTTACCATAGTTCACCTTTTGTTTCTCTGGGCTATATCATTTCAACTCATTTAATTAACCCCACACATATTCTTTTAAAGTATTCAATTTCATAAATAATAAAATCTCACAATGACTAATTTGATAAATGAATATCATATAATAATGAAGTGAAAGTGTTTGACTTCATAAATGAATATCATCACAAATGAATACAGTTGACTCTTGAAGAGCATGGGTTTGAACTGTGCAGGTCCACTTTTACCTGGAAAATCTTCTATCTCTGCCACCACTGAGATAGGAAGAGCAGCCCCTTCTCTTCCTCCTCAGTCTATTGAACATGAAGATGAAGAAGATGAAGACATTTATAATCTACTTCCACTTAATGAATAGTAAATATATTTTCTCAACCTGATTATTTACTTATTTTATGTAGATGGCTATGGCCACCATGGTGCACCTGTCAGCCTGTTTGTGATTTCCTTCCTTCCTCCCTCCCTCCCTCCCTCCCTCCCTTTCTTTCTCAAGATGGGGTCTCACTCTGTCACCCAGGCTGGACAGCAGTGGTACAAACATAGCTCACTGCAGCCTTGAACTCTTGAGCTCAAGCAATCCTCCTAGATCAGTCTCCAGAGTGGCTGGGACTACAGGTATGCACTGTCGCACCTGGTCCATTTTTAAATTTTTTGTAGAGACAGAGTCTTGCTATGTTGCCCAGGCTAGTATCAAACTCCTGGCTTCAAGCAATCCTCCCACCTTGGCCTGCCAAAGTGCTGGGATCATAGGTGGGAGCCACTGTGCCCAGCTTTGATTTT